CACCCTACGTAAGTTTGAAAGCAAATAAGAAAGGAAACTAGTGTTCTACGATACAATCATATAACTGAGGTCAAAATACCAAGTCTATAGTTTTGTACAAATTAGAAACTCAAATTACTGATATTGACAAGCTAGAATATAAAATAAGAGCCTCTTATCTTTTCTATTTGCTAAAATATTGCCCATGTAATAAATAAAACACAGTGGCACCCTGCTCACCTTTTTCCATTTTTGGAAATGCTCACCTGTATACATTTACTTTTATATCTGACAAGAATAACCAATCGGAAGCTTAGAATGTCCCCCTAGTGGCTTTCTTAGCCATTTTAATGGGTTTGGATGCCCTTTCTTTTATTTGAACCAATATTTCAAGGAGGTAAGGTGTGTCTTTAGTCTGTTTGAAATTTCATATTTTTTTAGATTAAAATACATCTTAATTACTTAGCTTTATAAATTATAGTGGAATTCTATGGTATTAATGTAGTAATTTATGATTTTTTGGTTATTGAACTGTATATATATAAAACCTAAAAAAATTATTTTGTTTCATATCTTCCACGTGCAAAATTTTAAAAGGCTTAGCAACCTACATTAAGCAGGAACCGAGTACAAAGGTCATAACTAGAGGAGATAATTGTTTGCTTTACTTCTTTATTTACTGTTCTATGTATAAAAAATAGTTTAAGAACTTATTTCAAAATAGCAATAATCTATATACACATATAATGTATGATAATTGAAATGTGACTGTATTTTATAAAATATTAGTCGAGTAAAACCCAGCCAACTTTGTACAGACCAAAGGTCAATTGTATGTTAATGGATGCAGTAACATAAGTGCACGTGTGCTGCGTCATTGTAACTTCTGTATTGTTAGCCAGGCACGGCAGAAAGGTCAATATACAGAGATTCATTACTGAAAATAACAGATAAAATATAATGCTTTTTCTAAAGAAATATTTGATAACTATCTGGACATTATTAAGATTTTGCATGTGAAATTTGAAAATTTTCTGATGCATAAAAATATTTTTAATCTTAAAATTAATATTACTTTGCATGATAGCTAGGCAAAATGCAAAAAGAAAAAAAAAAAGACATGAGAAAAACACTGCTTAATAAACCTTAAGACTTAATAAAAAATTTGATATTTTGCATATGAAAAAATTGTAATGTTTACTGATAAGGTGTCAAATTGCGTTAACATTCGCTTACTAATTTAAAAGTTATAGCATGAAAACTATAACAGGTACAGAATGTTTATGAGGTCGGTCCGAGGGACCGAGCCTGTGCTGAAAGAGTTAAACCACACACCAGAAAAAATCTAGTGGATCACAAAATAATACGTGGTTAATGTTGAAGGGTGGAATTCCATAAAACCGGTATAACTCAGGTATAACAAAAGGCGAGTCAAAGGACAGATTGGACTTCATATTTATTTTTGGTATCTAAAACAGCTTATCTGCTAAATATTTCAACAGAATAAATTGGTAGCATTAACAACACACATTCTCAAAATTCTATATAAACATAGCTTCACTAAAAACACCATATACACATATAATACATGATATAACTGTTTTCTAAGTATGTTCTATACATCCACACTTCCAGTGTTTCTTACGAATAATGTGTTTATCCATTTATGAATATTTATACTTTTTTTCGTGAAGTCAGCCAGCCAGACTGACAATTAAACTGTTAGCAAAAGAACATAGGTTATATTTTATTTCTAAAGATCAGCATCAGGAGATAATCTATAAATGATTTTAAAAATAATTTTCCAATCAAATAAAATCCTAAATTGCACTAGAATGACAATACTGAGTTCATTAGTTGCCCAATGTTCTGTAATTAGTTCACACATATTAAACATTTTCTGTTAAATATGTAAACACAAATTGTGATAATTGTAAAGTTATATAGTTTTACTTAATTGAATATAGAAAACAATACTCATAATGAAAATGTACCACTATAACCATTAATGCTATAAACAAAAGCTTTCCACAAACACGCAAATTTAGTTTAGAAAAAAAAAAGTACAAAATTCATTAAAAATGTACTCTGAATACTTTACAAAAACTGTCACTTGTACAATTAATTTTTGGTTGTTTTCTTTCATTTGAGTATTTATATTTTCTCCAAAAACAAATAATACAAGAAAAGATTACAAAAGCTGTATAAATTATACTTGATCAATTTATCCTTATTCTAACAATTATCACAAACCAAAAAAAATCAAGTAAAAATTAATGTAGAGTAAAGTTACAAAGGTCTCAAGATTTGTCAGAATGACTGAAATTCTTATTGATCAAATATCTCTCAAATCTGTTATATCTCTCTGTTATAATTCAATTTTAGGGCAAGTCAGCTTATGAAATTCATTATTTCTTCAAACCTTTCTTTTAAAAAGCAAAATACAAAATTTTTACTAACCTCTCCAACGTACTTTTGAACAAGTTCTGAGCCAATGACTCTGATGAAGCAAGCATCCGTTCTATTAGCCACTGCTCGGGCACACAAAGTCTTCCCCGTTCCTGGTGGACCAAAAAGCAGTACTCCTTTTGGAGGTTCAATTCCAAGCTTAACAAACCGTTCTGGCTAAAAATTCAAAGAATCTTTCAAAAACCCTTCATACAATCAACAGAAATATTGGATTAATGGAACAGCATCAATGCTGAGTTACTATTGCTACTAGAAAGCTAATAATGGTGTAAAAAAAACTGCAAAATGAATATGTCAAAAAGACATTTATTTAAAAAGTTTAACATAATTCTGACACACAAACAAAAAGATATTTACTAGAAATGAATGACCTTTTAACACCAAATTGTTTTTTTTTAATTGGATACTCATTGTTTCACTTTAGTTTTTTTTCAGGAGCATTCTACTAAAACACAAACCATAACTGACAGTACAAAGCTTCAAAGCAATAAAGAAAAACAACAATTTGGTGTTATAAGGTCATTTATTTCTGGTATTAAAATGTCTTCTATACACCAACATGCACCACAGAAATTTAAAAAAATACTTATGAGAAAAAAAATCATCATTGAATTACTTCTTTTTAGGGTTAGGATTATTTTCCATTACATTTAATTACTTCTTTTTAGGGTTAGGATTATTCTTCATTACATTTATTACTTCTTTTTAGGGTTAGGATTATTCTCCATTACATTTAATTACTTCTTTTTATGGTTAGAATTATTCTTCATTACATTTAATTACTTCTTTTTAGGGTTAGGATTATTCTCCATTACATTTAATTTCTTCTTTTTAGGGTTAGGATTATTCTTAATTTGATTCATTTCTAATGAAACTAGACTTGCATACAATTCAACAATGAAATTAGTATCATTTGTCATCATTTTTTTAAAAATCAAATGTTCATAGAGATGTGCATTGCAAAAACTTTTAAATAAGTAAACTGTTTCAGTTATTCTAAAGCTTTCTTGACACATAAATGAATTACACTGTTAACCTTGCTTGACGTTAATACAAGAAACACCTAGATCTGTACAGCAAGGAAAGGGATTTTCATAATCATTAAGATTTCAGAATATTTTGTAAGGTGACCTCTGGTTTCTCTATAACACTCACGTGTAACAAAGGCATTTCTACAACTTCACGGAGTTTTTCAATTTGTTCTTTACACCCTCCAACGTCACTGTACGTCACATCAGGCTTCTCTTCAACCTGCATCATGGTAACTGTGGGATCAATCTTAGGTGGGAGGGGAATATGAATCTGGTACTTGTTCCTGTCCACTCTGTAAATATATTTTGATATTAGTTTCAGATGTATTTGGCTGAAATTATTGTCTATGAAACAAACAACTTGTGTGTTACAAGTATAAAGGACCACAAGTTTAAATTTACTTTATAAAGAGAGGTTCCAATTTAACTAGCATTTTCAACAAACTGTATTAACTGAATAGATGCTTTTTCTTTAATTGATGAAACATATAATGTAACAAAACCTCGACACTTTCAACATCAACCTATCAGTGAATTTTAGAATTAAATACAAGTCAGATGTACTGGATCATTACTGTAGTTGATACTCATCATATTCTGATAAACAAGTTTGTTTTATTTATGTCACAATTCCACTCTTAGTGATATTTGTGCTATATAACTGTATTTATGTTGTTTATTTATCCAAATCCTAAACTGTAGAGCTGGGCAATTAACGGAACTTGCTAACTGACTGAATGTTGGGCTCATTAACTGATTACATTAATCTGATCCATTACTATTCTAACATGAAACATGGATAATTGCAATAATCAAAAATAGTAATAACTGGAAACACTAATTTTGATTAGTTGATTCTTTTTTGTTACAAACAATTTAATCGTAAATTAGGTTAACTGCTTATTTTATGTGACACTAATCAATGTACTTGATGCTCATTATTTATCAATTATATTCATTAACTGAGTTATTGTTCAGCTCTGCTAAGCTGTATTAACAGAGTAACTGAACAAACCATAACGATTCATGCATAACAAATACTGTCATTACGAACATACCGAGAAAAGATGATAAAACCATTACCACTTTTACTCAAAAGATGTCATCAGAAAAATATTACACTGTAATATTCTGTATTTAGTCAAACACCATTCATAACAGTACATCATTTACATCCACACTATTAAATTTATCAGCACACGATGGTAATTTAACAGGATATTCACTTTAAAAGATATGCTGAAGTATTTTACAAACATAACTTTTTGGAATATTCACTTATGATTGGACATCTAAATTTGAACACTTCTGGTTTCTATAAATTTAAGAGCTTCACAGTTAAAAACAAACCAACATTACCATGGATTTGAGTACACATTTGACAGGAAAGATAAACACACCTATATATATTCCAGACTGGTTATCCAACTGAGATTGTAGTTTACACTAGCAAAGTTACAATGATTACAACAGTAAAATATTTTAAATTACACTTTCATAAATTTTCCAAATAGCCAAACTCTCACATAAATGATTCACAAGTGCTAGGTGTCAACATTTGTTTCTTGGACTTACTATAAGAAAGCCGTAGAAATGTGTTTCCTTGCTTACTTACCCAACTCTCATGCCTTCTTCAATATCTGTGGGAGCCACCGAGTCAGCCAAATCAACCACAAATTTGGCAAACTGCTTGACATTGATAATGTATTTTGGGTCATCACTATCTGCATTGATGATTTTTGTACACCTAGCAACTTGCAATGGTTGTTCATTCTGAAGAGTTTGTTTGTCAGCAGCTAAGTCCCACAGTGCTGGAGGTGCTAGCCCTGTATCAGATTCTTTAATTCCTGCAGATTGTCATCATAAAAAATGTTTCACATCTTTTAACATATCAAAACTTTTAAAATTCAAACTATGAAACCACATCTGATTATTTTTTAACCAAAATGCTGCATACCAATCAATATAAGTTCATTGACAGCTTCATTCTGTTGGAAATGGCATATTTTCCATCCTAGGTCTTCACATGTATTTTATGGTTTATAACATTCAGTCATTAGAATATTACAGCAAATTACACAGACTACCATAAACACGATCATGTACAGAAATCATGGTTTACATCAGTAACAATGCTACGAACTAAAATAGTATTTATTACATATAACAGTTATAAACTTTTGTAATTTTTATTATGTTATATATTATTCTCAGAGCTATTAGTCAAATTTAACTGGGCTCTTACTATATACAGAAGCAATGTTATTTCATTACATTAATTTAGCTATGTGTGTGACTGAGAGTTTGTGAATTAAAGGAAATGTATGTTTTTGTACATAAACGCGTGTTTTAGGGTTAGATGTACACATTTTTAAATGTTTGTGTGTCCCCAATAGACAACTATCCAAAGTATATTTCTAACAGTAGAACAAATTATTTAAAAAAAATTCTTATCCAATAGGCTAAGTATAATGGCAATATAACTTTTTGCCATGTAGTTCCACACTTCTGACATTTAATTACATAATTCTGTTAACATTATTTATCTGAAGCAATATTACTGTACTCAATAAAACTTATAAATGAAGTAAAAACACAAAAATTTAAGAATGAAAATATTGACTATTTTTTTAAATTCTAAACATGCTTTTGAGTTGGACAAATGGTATATTTGTACAGACACTGGAATAAAAGGCAACATTAGATCTGATAGAGATATAAATCTTGCAAGCGTTCCAGTCATGGCTCGGTCAGAGTGTAGGTGATACAGTGTTTGAATATTTTGAAATTCTATGAATAACTTTTCCCTGCCTATATCTTAGTAAGCTATTGTGGAAAACAAACTGAGTAGACTCTCAGATAATATGATTTATGTGTCATAACAAATAACAAAAGTAATTAACACCTTCAACATGGACTTTACTGACCATAAACTTATTTTTATCAAAAAATACATAACACAGTTTAAATTTTTTTCTTCTTTTTATACCTAATAAAAAAATAAAAAGAAGAACTTCCCAACAAAATGGAAATAACTTCAGAGATTGTCAGAATTCTTTACAATTTCAAAATCTTCCTTACCAGTAAGTTCATTAACTCGTTTCAAAATAGCTTGTGTGTCATCTTCTACTTGTTTAACTGCCTTGCTGTACTGACCAGCTCCCTATCGAATGGGGAAAAAAACAACTAATCAATAACTATATTAAAATTTTATAAACACAAAAATGCATGTCAATTTAGTATCATACAGTTTTAAAAAAAGGAATACAACAACCTAAATCAAAGTATATTGAAAAACTAGCAACAAATGATTTTTTTAAATAACATAAAAGTAAAATAAAACTTCAATTTCTGCACATTTTTCTCTTTAACATCTAAAAAACCAGTTACCATAAATTAAACATAACATCCTGATCAGTATACCGTGTACGTACATTATCCTCAAAAATTGTTAACCGAACATTTCTTTAAAACTTACAAACTCTATTCTAGATGTAAATTTTGGGAAACACATAGAAATTAATATTAACTTCTGATCACAGGAACCTACCTACTTCAACCACAACTAAAAATTTTCATCAGCTAGGTACCCTAATTGTTAATATACTTGGATGTAAATCCAATAATATTTCATGAGGTTAACTCAGATTAGAAGATTTAGGCTAGTCCTAAATTTATATGCTAAGCAAACAATGCAAAACAATCTCTGTAATAAAAATAAACTAATAAAAATTCTAAAATAATAAAACTAGATATATCAAACATCCTAAACAATACTGCCAATGAAAGTAATCTTGAAGAAACATCATAATATACCTCACGGAACACACAAACGTACTTATTGAAAATATAACTAACATCACACATAATTAAAATGAAAATTTCTACATCTAAAACTGGCTGGTAAGTTTAAGTATGAATTTTAACATTTTTATTTTAAGAAATATAATTTTAATTACCACTTACATAACTTTTCAGTAGGGCAATGTCTCCTTCATCAAGTACTGCAGAAGATAAATTATATTAGATAGTTCTGTTAATTGCCAAGACATGTTTTGATAATCCCTGAAATATTCATTTATCTAAATACTATATCCAAACATGTTTATCTACACATCTAAGTATCTATATACCCTCATCTACACCTATATGTACTAGTTCTAAGAACTTATAAGTGAAAACAAAGGATGTCAACCACACAACACCTGCCGTATCCAGTATCTAAATTTTGGTACCGTCTTACTTACAACTTGATTTATTTCAATTTGATTAAGGTATATACATGTTATGGTAAAAGAAGTTGTATTTGGTTGTAATACCAAAATTTACTCTTTATCTTTCTTACTACAACAACAAAAATCATACACACTCAATGTTGTTAGATGTGCTTAAAAAATTAAATACACAATAAATATACGTCTCTTTTTATGTGAATTAGAAATACAAGTTCAATACTATGTCAGGAAGAACAATGAAGACATGACCAACTAACACATTATATTAAAAATACAATAAATATATGTCTCTTTTTATGTGAATTAGAAATACAAGCTCGATACTATGTCAGGAAGAACAATGAAGACATGACCAACTAACACATCATATTAAATACACAATAAATATATGTCTATTTTTATGTGAATTAGAAATACAAGTTCAATACTATGTCAGGAAGAACAATGAAGACATGACCAACTAACACATCATATTAAATACACAATAAATATATGTCTATTTTTATGTGAATTAGAAATACAAGTTCAATACTATATCAGGAAGAACAATGAAGACATGACCAACTAACACATCATACTATCAGATTTTAGTCCTGGCCAACGAATTTGCTGTCCCTAACATTTTTTAGTTCTAAAACAAATTTGAAATACTTGTACAGTACTTACATATTATAATATTTTTTTGTAGAAGGTAATTATTATTTTTCTATTTTTAAATTTGATAGTAGTTATTTTACTGTAGTTTAGTTAGATTAGTTAGAATTGAACAACTGAGGCACAGCACTAATACAGTACAACGTTAGACTTAGACTGTCAGGCTCAACTTACTGTTTTTTTTAGGTAATAATAATAATAGGATAAAAATATAAATAAATATCGAACTAAGACAAAGAATTATCATAAGTGTTAGTTAAGTAGAGACTATTTATTTATCTTGAGAGTTTAAATTATTGTCTTTATTATTTGACACAAACATGGGAGAGTTTAGATTTAGATTAATCTGTAATAACTTAATTTTGGTTATGAGCTTAACTTTGATGTCTATGAGGCTAAGAAAGACACAATCATGTGTACTTGAAGAATATGTTTACATGATGATACATGATAGAGAGCTTTGGTGAAAATAGCAGATTAGAAAGAGAAATCATGCAAAGAAGATAGGAAATGATGGACAGAGTTAGGGGAAAGATTGCTTTGGGCAAGTGGTGGGTTTACAATGGTGCAGAGCAGTAAAATAGTTAGGGCTACAGAGGCACACTCAGTTAGCATTGTGTTACCAGTCTCTAACTGGTTTGAACCTTTGGCTGCTTGCAATGAAGAACTACAAGATAGAGTTTTACTTGCATTAAGTATACTGATAGCATTATTTATAATGATGAATGTAAAAAGACTAACAGAAAAATGTGCTTACCACACCATGGATACTGACAGTTCAATTAATGATTTCAACGAATATTTTCTTTTTTGTATAACAAATAGAAGCAAACAATGTTGTTACTTATGAATGTTAAAAGCTGCTTAACCCTTTGACTGAAGTTTCTTTAAATGTGCACAGAATTATTATCAGCCATACACTGTATACAGCACACTTGCATTCAACTGCTGGAGGCAGACTGTATCCTATACTGCACATCTTTAAAAGAATGAAATTTTCTTTCATAAATTTCTTGATAAAGAAGTGTGGTCATTTATGGAGTGCCAAGATGCAGGAATGACTTACAGGACAGTCCTGGCTCCAATTTTCTTAATAGGGGAGGAATGTGACACATAATGGGGCTGAATCTAAAATTTGATGACTCTAACTTTTGGGGATAAATGACATTTCAGAGGGGGTGGCCCCTCCACTAGTACCAGCCCTGTTAAGGATATAAATATTGAAAGATTATCATAGATATGCCTAAAGCAACTGAAGGGTTGATTGCACCTGTCAGATAGTTTTAGGATAAAACAATTAACATTTAATTGTTGTCAAATTACCAAACTTTACAAGTATAAAGTAGCCTAATATTTGCTAATACAGAGCATTATTATTCATATAATAAAGTTACAAACATTATATTCTAAACATTGTTATTAAACTTTCACCTTAAACCAAAGATATATCAATTTTTAATGTAATAAACCTAAAATATGCTTCTTTATAACTGTTGACACAGCACAGTCTATTCTATTTGTCAAGACTTATTTTTTGACTCATTTGACTTCACTTACTCAAACTCAATTCTAAAATTTTAAAAATTCAATGAATAAATCAATATCGTAAGTAATAATTTATATGTATGTAGATCCAAGCCTATAATTTATAAATTTAGGGTTCATTATACACTAGTTAATTATAAATAATAATTGCTACAGAATTCGAAGTAAATATATCATAAACAGTATCAATAAACTGTCGCAGACTCGCATAGTCACACAGTGTTAAAATTTGCAAAATACCTTTGATTTCCTTCTCTTCCTCTTCTTTATCGTCTTTTTTAGTTTTCCGCATATCATTTCCGAGATAGTCTGGCATTTTTGATAATTTAAAAAATAAAACGACTGACTTTAATAAAACTTAAAAGAAAATTTCCTGAGTAGACGTATCAGTGCTCCTACTTAAGCCTAATGAATGACTCGACTAAGTTTAACGAAACTTTAAGTTTAATGATACGGACAACAGATGGCGATTTTTTGAAAGAAAGAAAAAAAAACGAGAAATAGAAAGTATACAGAACAACAACAACAACAAACAAAAAAAAAAAATCAGTGTCAGATAAAATGTACAGTTAGATAAGTAGAGAAATTGCTTTGAGAATATTATATTAGCTTAGAAATGTAAGATACAATTCTATCACAAGTTTTAAGGTCCAGATATTACTTTATACATAAAATGAAAAAACGTAAAATACTCACTAAGTATTTCTTAAACATCGGTGTTTAAAAGTTAAGTAGCTTGTTAGTGAGATCTTGATTGCCCATATATTGTATAATCTAATAGTATAAGATAAGCTCATAAATAATCTCATTTAAAAGGTTAGAATCTTATGATTTACTTATGGATAACTATAAATGCGTCCAACGTAGTTTATTAAAACCGGCACGTGTAGAAACCATGATGATTATGCAAAATACACATTACTGTAATAAAAAATTGATGCTAAGAAATACATTTAATAATAACTTTCGAAAAGAAATACGTTGATACGAAAACCTACTTCTAGTACATCCTCCTGTGGTATTATCAGATGAACTAATTTCCTTTATTGTAATTGTGGGTTACGCACAATAACAGGAGGCCCACAAAAAACTGTATTGTGGATTAAAAATCTGAATGCTCCGATCTCGACTAAATTTGAAGAAGAACAAAAGACTAAATACAAGTTAAACGCATTTAAAAACAAGTGAATATTTTGTTGTTTTTACTGGAGAAGTCTAATGTGTTTCAAGTCTATCTATGATTAAAATAATTCAATATATATATTTTGTGTTTCAGGCTGAGAAAATAAGTCATTGTATTCGCAAAACAATAATGCCACTCTTACTGGGAAACAGTTGCTACTCACGCGACTTATGGTCATTTTCACTATAAAATCATGGATGCTGTTATCTTGAGATATCACCTGACCTGCCAGTGGAAAAGATAACTGTTTATTGCTATAGACTATTCTACATTTCATACGAATCTTTCCTATGAGATAGTAAATGTGACACCCTAATTGAATGACCCATTTCAGTAGTCAACTAGAGCAAAAGGAACTGATTAGCTCCACTGACTAATGGTTTATATACTACATTCTCAATATGGAGAGAAATTTTGAAACATTTTATATTAAAGAAGGTGATAGAAATCATGTAGTATGCCTGTATATTACAACTTTCTTCACCTTTTTACCTTCAGGCTATCCTCAGCATTCTAACTTTAAAACCCAAAAATCATTTAAAGCATATTGTGTGTTAGTCAAGGAATCAATGTAACTTACTCATACCCCTAAAAACATTTACACCATAGCACAGTAAAACAATAAGTACAATTTTAGAAAACGAATTAAAATTATAAAATTGCAGAAACAGACGATTTAACATAGAATGTAAACATTACACATAATAGACCCTCCTATACAATCAAAAATATAAGACAAAACCATTCCTAAAGTGAGACATGACAGAATACAAAATAAGAATGAAATATATCCAAAATTTAAAAGTACAAAATATATAGCCTAACAAAAGTAAAAACACAAAATATGAAAAAATAAATGTAAATGAAACCTTACATAAAATCAAAATTTATATGCATAAAATTGTTGAACTTTTCTAAATAAAGGGGTAGAAAACATCTCGTTTACCTGCATATTATAATGTTATCAAAATATTTAAAAACGTTAAAGAATAATTTAAAAAAACATCTTAACCTTTTGTACATACTAACACGTCACCTTCAGGAAATTTTCTATTACTTTTTAACACAATTTTTTGCTGTTTTTAAATAATTATACTTAATATATTGACGATCTGTGGTATATCCAGGTGAAGCTGAATTAACTTAAGAGCTACACCGAATAGGTTTGCTAAGTAACAGGAGATTCCTTCCAGATACTGATTATATAGTATTGCTAAAACTTTTTTTTTTTTAACTGAGTCGATGTTAAACATAAGAACGAGACGAGACACAATGGTAGAACAGAATGCACAAAACCATTTTTAAAATGATCACCTTCCTGGTTTGGTTTGAATTTCGCGCAAAGCAACACGAAGGCAGGCTAGCTGCGCCAGCCGTCCCTAATTTAGCAGTGTAAGACCAGTGGGAAGGCAGCTAGTTATCGCCACCCATCGCCAACTCTTGGATTAATTTTTTACCAACGAATAGTGGGATTGACCATCACATTATAACACCCCCATGGCTGAAAGGGCAAGCATGTTTGGTGGGATTCGAACCCGCGACTCTCAGATTGCGAGTCGAGAGCCCTAACCACCTGACCCTGCCGGGCCTATCACTTACCCCCTTTAGGAAGGGGTAGTCTAAAATATTACACAGAAAAATGAACAGAGAAATGACACACATAATAACTTTTTTGACACTTTATTTAAGTATGGTACACAAGAAAAATATAATCCTTTCTCAGATCATGCAAAAATGAAACATTTAACGGGTAATCAAAACATTGTTATTCACATCAACCCATGTCCCTTGACAGAAATAAAAACGCACACTAATAGACACCAATGGCCATGATCTGTTTTACACTAACTGTATACCAAAAAGAGAGAAAATACAAAAAGTATGCATAATCATAAAAAGTACCTTCAAAATACCTATATGTTTTTTTTAGCTTTTGAATCACTGGTGGTAACTGAACCCATTATCAAACACACACGCACATATATACACACATACATTTATATGTATATTATATACTTGTGTACATGTGATTTGTGTGAGATGAAATCTTTCTTGGTTATATTGTTTCCTGGGACACATGAAAGACTTTTGCGTTCTTATATTTTCACAGGTAGGGTATGACTCGTTGCAGGTCATTTACTGGATGGTCCTGGTGTTCAAGGTAGATCCATATTCCTTTGTTTTCCAATGCCATTAAGTAGGAAGGTTTGGTTTGGTTTGTTTTGAATTTCGCGCAGGGCTATCTGCGCTAGTCGACCCTAATTTATCAGAGAAAGACTAGAGAGAAGGCAGCTAGTCATCAACCCCCACCGCCAACTCTTTTACCAACGAATAGTGGGTTTGACCGTCATATTATAACGCCCCCACGACTGAAAGGGCGAGCATGTTTGGTGGGTCGAGGATTCGAACCTGCGACTCCCAGATTGTGATAAGTAAGAGAGATATCTTCCATCTTGGAAATTGTAACTTCAACATGTGAGCATATCTGTATGATCAGAGTGTACGAATATTATTCCTCTGAAATGGCCCTTACATACTTTTCCCCAAAATGATCAATTTTAGGTGGTAGTTTTTTAAACAAACTTTACATAATTTTATGCTCAATAATTTTTCTTGTGTTCTTTAAAAATCATACGCCGATTTATTACATTTCTCCAGTTTCTGAATTTATAATTGTTGTTGTCTGTTAGCATTTCCTCCCCAAAACAGCTGAAAATAGGCTTATCCAATTTATATTGTTGCGTCAGCGAGGTCACGTGACTACAGGGGCGGATTGGGATGGCTAAGCGGCCCGGGACTGGGATCACAGAGTGGCCCTGGACAGGTTTTCTATT